AGCGTTTTATCATGTGGTGTACTTATATGTTCTTGGCAGGGATAAGTCTTGGGTTACAAGATATTGAAAGGGATGACATATTAATCATGGTTATCAAATGCGAGTCCGTTATCGCTATGGCGAGGGTGCGCCGCCATTTCACAGAAACCAGTCGAGGTGGCTTATAGTACGTGATGATCAAGCACCCTTCTATCCTGCCTCCCCATCTAATTCCACCAACAAAGGCGAGTGACCGTGGATCTGTTGTCCGTTCCCGTTAAACAGGGCCACTGATGCTGGAGTATAATGTTTGCAGACCTATGTCAATATTTGGGGACATTATTATTATCTGCCCTGTATTGAACCCACCACCAGTTTTAATGGTGGACTTTGTAATGTTTGTGTAATAGTTTATGAGGACACGCATCAAATCTGTACATAATGGACTTATCAATTAATGAAAGCCTGTATTGTTGTAACAGAGAATGTGTGTGTGAGACAGAGAGTGGAGACAGGGGGAGGGGGGGGGGGGATAATCTGCCGTTATTAAATATGACTTGGTAATGTAATGTAAATACTAAAGGCTACGGTACAAGCCTGTTGTGTGTGTCCGTATCTAATCCCCTGGCGCCAAGCCAGGCTTGACATCACACATGTTATCCAAGCAGTCAGAAATGCCACTTAATTCCCAGGTCCTCAAAACATCAAGCATCAGTATTATTAGGATTATTTTTTCAAATTGTTGGTTGGTCAGGTGTTACAGTGGATAATGCACTCGCTACATCACCAAGACTGCCAGGGTTTGATTCCCCGATTGGCAATGAAAAGGTATTGGGTCACCTGCCCGACCATGTGGGATATCTTGGGCACTCAACATCCTCCCACATTAAGACCCTCTGCGTGCTTCTATTTGGGACAACATCAGTGATTGATATCAGCCAGAAAAGCTTATTTCACAAAGATGTTTAGATAAATGAAGTTTTTATTGAATGTATTTCAATGATTTGAAAATTATCAGTTTACCTGGGTTTTTCTTGATAAAAAAAATAATCAAATTGAATGCACCTTGATAAGTTTAAATGTGGCCCAAAACCAATATAAAATGTCCAATCCATCTACAAAATAAGACCGTCTGGCTTCTTCTTGGCTATTTGATCATAAGAAAATTGCAAGCACAAGTTAGTTTCAGGTTTTGTTTTCAAGGCAAGTGATTGCTTGGTAGGGGACACGATCTTAATCCATTTCAGAGCTGTGAAAACACTTGTCATGATTAGACAGACAGAATCATTACATTTGAAATGACTTCATTGAAATAAAAAAATATCTCAATAATGGGATGATGGATGAGTTTGTTAAGTTGCTATTATCTGTACAGAGGCCTAGGACCTGATGGATCAAGGTCGTCATACAGATCAATGTTACACTCCAAGGGGACAATCAAGGTCGTCATACAGATCAATGTATCACTCCAAGGGGACAATCAAGGTCGTCATACAGATCAATGCAACACTCCAAGGGGACAATCAAGGTCATCATACAGATCAATGCTACACTCTAAGGGGACCATCAAGGTCGTCATACAGATCAATGCAACACTCCAAGGGAACAATCAAGGTCGCCATACAGATCAATGCAACACTCCAAGGGGACAATCAAGGTCGTCATACAGATCAATGCAACACTTCAAGGGGACAATCAAGGTCGCCATACAGATCAATGCAACACTCCAAGGGGACAATCAAGGTCGCCATACAGATCAATGCAACACTCCAAGGGAACAATGAAGGTCACCATACAGATCAATGCAACACTCCAAGGGAACAATCAAGGTCGCCATACAAATCAATGCAACACTCCAAGGGGACGATCAAGGTTGCCATACAGATCAATGCAACACTCCAAGGGAACAATCAAGGTCGCCATACAGATCAATGCAACACTCCAAGGGGACAATCTGCAAGGCTATCCTTCCTGACAGAATTTTTTATTTCTTTTTGCAAAAATAAAAAAGAAGAAAAATTCTCTAATGATATTTTTGAATTGTAAGTTATGTATTCTAGGATCATTTTTCAAGTTTGATAGAAATTTATCTTAAACTTAAGGTTTTATGCTACCTTGGTATGACATATGTCAATTTTATGAAACTCCTTTATAAAAGAGTTCCATTACTATGTTTTAAGAATGGTGTTTCAATTTTGGGTTTATGAAATCAGAACAGCAAAATATGTGCGACTAGGTTTTACGTTTCTGAAGATTGTTAGAAAATTTCAAATCACACATTTAAAGGAAGATAACCCAGCAAGACTGAAAAAGTAAACATAAGTATCTGATTAACCAAATCATTTCCCTATATGTCCATCCTGGTTTCTTTGCAAGACCAGTTTGATGAGCAGTACTACTATCAACTATTACGTTAGTTTTGAAATATTTACAGGTTGGTCGTAGCAATTAGCAATTTACCTAAATTCCTGTTTCAGTGGAGAGTTCAAAATTAGGAGAAACACAGGATTTCACACAAAGGCCGCCAATTGAATTAGAACAAAATACTCTCACAGAAGCTTGGGAGTGCTATCTTCAATATACTCACTGTACCTACAGGTGTTTTTTTTTAAATCTGAGTGTGCCTCAACAGAAAATCACTTTATCTTTATATGACAAATAGATGTTTTATGAGACATTTTCATTGATACCCATCTTTCCAAGGGTATCCCTTTTCATCATTACTAGGAGATAAATATTTATCAAGATTACTTGCATATCAAGTTCTTTCAAAAACAATTTAAATGGTTTTCCAAAAACGTCCATAATTCTAAAAGAATAGTCAAACAAGATTGGAAAATTATTACCAGAAGCTTCTATGGTATTGGAGGATAAAATTTAAGTAGTTAAAAGATTTGTTTCATAACGCCAAATGTTCAGTTTAGTGATGAAGAGTGCTCCAATGGTTTGTCTGTCTTGTGTCGTGAGTTATCTCCCTTATGTAGAAATCTAATGATAATTCTTTGCATATTTTAGGACCAAAAGCCCTGTCATGTTTTAAAATGATATATCAAGGTTCATTAATTCCCAGTCACAAGTTACAGTTGCAAGGATGAGTAAAGCTGTGAATGAAGAAATATTGTAATAGAAAAGTAAAATGTTTAAGGAAAAATTTGGTATAATTGATCATTCTTGTTAAAACATCATGTTTGTTTCTAAGATTTAAAAGAAAAAAATCTGTATTCTCTCTGATATAAATGGGTTAGAAAGAAACAAAGGTGAAGGTTTATAAAGGGATAATGATGTAGAAAACCATGCAAAATAATGTCTTGCCATACTTAGGCTAAAGAAAGATGTTATATGCTTCCAAATATGGTCTCAAAACAAAAATAGATGAGACAACAGGAGAACAATAGCTGATCAATCTACCACCCCTATCTGTCTAGATAGATTTGTCTTGACAGTGAAACTAAGAAGAGTCCATTCACAAATTGAGGGGTGGTCACACATGTGATTACCAGTTGCTAATATGTATGCAAATGAGTGTCCCAAGTTTGTACAAGCAGAGCGGTGCTGTGGTTCTTCTCCAAAATTAGCATTGTGCCCCAAAAACATCATGTAGTTAGATTTGTCGGTCGGCAAGTCCTGGCACATACTGAACATGATCGGTGTCATGAATTGATGTCCAATATGTGTGACGTGTTCTGTTTTGTAAGTGAATCCCTCAAACGTTCCATGTCTGGTAGTAGTGACGTTCCATGTCTGGTAGCAGTGACATTCCATGTCTGGTAGTAGTGAAGTTCCATGTCTGGTAGTAGTGACGTTCCATGTCTGGTAGCAGTGACATTCCATGTCTGGTAGCAGTGATATTCCATGTCTGGTAGTAGTGACGTTCCATGTCTGAGTAGTGATGTTCCTTGTCTGGTAGCAGTGCACAAGAGGTCATTTCTGTTGATTCTGGTTGATGTCTTTAGATAGGAAGTTTTTGTTTTCAAATCCAACAAAATACATTTTATTATCAACATCTTTCATTCGAGTTACGACATAGTCTAGTCGAATTCGGTCATTGGGAGAGATTTATATGCTGTGTTGATATCATTAAACCAATGTCTGCATTGCCAGACGTAGGTGTTACACTGTTGATATATATATTTCTGTCCTGGCAATACAGTCGTCCCTTCAGCAGTAGCCCTTGCGATACACAGTGATGTCATAAAGGACAATCGGCCACTGTCAAGTGTCGTAGAGGGTTCAGAAAACGAACCTAGGATTTTCCTGATTGGGTCTGATTATACACCAATATCTGCCATGGATGTATAGATTATAGGTTTATAATAAAATAAAACCAGACGATACACAATAAGGTATTGTGTATTTGGTGCTAGATGTATATTGCTAATAATAGTAAAGTAGGCAGCAGTATTTATAGCGCTATGTAATCACTACTGCTAACATTAGCAGTGTATATAGCACTATATTCGCCATTCTATGGCACTGCCACTATATATACCCTACCAAGTTCAAATGGCATTCATATCAACTTTGAATGCCATTGTTTCTCGTGTTGATGTCATAATTAGTATTATGTCATACATTTCGACGTTTTATACCAGTGAACTTCCCTTGAAGATGGCTGCTTTATTAAATAAAAAAGCATTCACTATATATACAGTTATGAACTAAAACCTGAACATGATTGGCATCAGTTGTTTCAAAAAATGTTAGATATAAGAAGTGAACAGCTTTCAGTTGGCATACATAATCAATATGAATGCCAACTGGAATGTGAACAAATTCAACTTGAAGGGCTGAAGTTAGATTAACCTACAGATAAGAGCACTATGCATAACTAATTTAGCGATTAGCTCTGCATTAATTAAGGACAAGATAGTGAAATTCTAGAATTAAAAAAAAAAAAAGGGATAACACAGGACCAGCACAAATCTTGGCATCTGAATGTTGTTGATTTTGAATATTTTTGACGAAAAACATTTTATTGATTCAGATTGAGTAATATGTTTGGATTTGTTTGTGTTTTTCAGATCTGCATGCTCACAGATAAAGTTTCGGGGAAGCCACGTGGTTACGCCTTCATAGAGTACGAACATGAGCGGGACATGCATTGTAAGTATTCTTTTCATTGGGCCAGATATTTTAACAAGGAAGGGATGACATGTTGCTCTGATGGCAATTCACTAAATCATAACATTCAAAAATTATTTCCCTGAAATATTTAGTTTTCTGATTTTCTTATTTGAAAATAAATTCTTAAGAAATAGTATAGTGGTAAGAAAAGAGAAAACCACTGGAGTGGCAACATATTAAAAATGTGCAACTGAATCGATTTCTGTTGAAATTAAAAAAAAATGAGAGACTTGATCTACATAACAATTGGGAACAGAATACATTACTACTGTCTTTTTATTGTTGCTGTATAAATGTCTGACCCCAACACAAAATCGTCAGTGTCTCTCTGGCATGTCGCTGGCAATACCATTTTCAAAGTTTTTTGTCGCTGACTTTAAAATCAGGGATTCCAGACTGTTTCCAAGTTGAAAAATTTCCCGGTGGATTGCGGAATGGTACAAAACATGTCATCCTTTCCTACCAATGTCTGGCGAAACACTAGGCCGGCTTTACCAGGCCCTCTCCCGCGTAGTAATGATTGAGAAATGAGATTGGCTCAATGGTGTAACGGTCCAGACAACACTACCGCTATTTAACTAATGACAGATAGCAACACAAGCCAATCCACAAATGTTGTCCGAAGTCATCACAAAACAGTGGCTCTGTCCTATTGAAGCAGATTGATCAGTGCCAGTTCGCCGTTGAATATTGGAGGATTGAGTTAGGTTGTCACCCGTCCTCCCCAATGTGTGTGAAAATTTAAAAATGATGTGTGTACTGTAGAACCTTGTTTTCTTTTTCTTAACCCTAGATAATGCAAAATACTTCTTTTCAGGACAAGTGATGATTTTTTTATTTTTTTGTAAAGTTCTTTAATTTCTTGCATCTCAAATTTCAAAACTAAGTTTTCTAGTCAAGGATCATTGAATAAGGCCAACAAGGTAGCTTTATCTGTACCTCTTGTTATCATTATTATCCAATACTATGTCTCGGATCATTAGACCAAGGGCAAATAAATCGCTGAATCAGGTTGTGATCTGTCCTAGGAATTTCCTACTTGTTCCCAAAATTTCAGGATATACTGTAAAGCGGATATGAAATAGCAGTTGTGTGAACCATATTATTGAATGATTTCGTTAAAGTTTTTAAATCGAAGCTGATTTGATTCCAACATGTTTTCGATCTATGCAAATTTTTCACTGGTTAAGTATTTTGTCCTCAAATGAGCTACATTTCAGTATAATTTTCAAATTGAGACAAGATTTCTAGAATCAAGAGCCTTGTCAATTTTAAGAATTGTGGAAAGAGTGTAAGACAGTTGAAATACCATTTGTGTTATAAAATCTGTAATTCACTAGAGTTGACTCAAATGTTAACTAGCAAATAGGTTTGTACTGAGTGTATCTAGTAAGTTATTTGGCTGTTGGGCAGAATTTCATTGATTAGGTGTTCTTCAGAGTTCTTTACAGAAAGGAAGAAATTGATATGTCTGTACACGATAGAGAAATTACTGTTGTGGTATGCTTCAACAAGTAAAAATGGGTTTACAAATACATATTGGCAAAGCTTATATGATTTGTTAAAAAAATCGTTAGGACCATAAATATTTTACTGCATGAAATTTCATCTGTACATAGATTAGGGGCGAGCGATAAAAGTACAAAAAGCTTTGAAGGTTTTGCTATTATTGCAGAAAATCAACATTTTATCATTTATTACTTGAAAACAAGGTCAGAGTGAAATAGTTTTGCAATTTTCATGTTTTAAATTTGAAACGTTATTGCTGTGGATTTTGTGGAGGTATTTTTATTTAATCTTTGATAACATCTGTTTTGTTTTACACAACTGGTAAGTACGTTTAACTTTTAAAAAATGTTGATTACGAGATATAAGGTTAAGTGATATTCAAGACATTCAGAGATAAAATTATTTAGAATGTCTAATTCAAAAAACAATACAAATTATCTAATTTGCATATTGCATTGAAGTAAAACCTTTGTATGTCTCATCAACATATATGTTATCAATAAGCAACTGGTATTTAACTCATTTACCCCTGAAGACATATTTGAACTCTTCCATTTTAAAGGTTGGAATAGTTCATTATGAAATTTCAGGGGTGAGTGAGAAGAATAGTTAGGGCTGGGTTTTTTTCCTCAGTTTGAAATCAATAATTTATATTATAGAGAAAAAAAAGTGATTTCTCCAGTAGAACTAATCCGTTTCCTTGTTATTTTCACTTCAGACAGATGAGGTGGTGAACTTGATGGCTCTGCCATTCTTGTTCCTTTGAAATAATTGCTGGCCACTCACTATAGGTTTGTATGGGAGTGGTAAGACATCGTGTCCCATTACCCTACAGTAACCTTAGCAACTGTCAAATGACCTGTTCAAAACTCCCAACAAATCATAAACACAATGTCCCTTTTCTATGAATTATCTGCTTGATTTTAAAACCAGAATTGTATTATTTTTTTCTTGAAATTTTTCTTTTCCAAGTTTAGTTTTATTTTTCAAATCTTCCAAGATTCTTTTTCCCATATTAAAGATAAGTCCTTATAGACAAATTCCTACTGAATTCCGTCCTGTGGTCCAAATCAGATATGCCAACTTTTAAAGACTGGTATAGGAAATGCATGGGTTTTAAAGTTCATATAAAATGGGTGGAAATGTTAAAATATGTTCAGCAACAGGTGAAAATGGGTCAAGGTCACAGTGATCTGACCTTTATGACTGGAAAACTATATTTAGAATAGAGAGTCATTTTGTGATAAGCAAGTTCTTAAGTATTTTGGGATAAAATTCATGAGGGAAAAAAAGGATGAATAATTTGCGACAGTCAGTTTTCAAACTTGGTAACTGCGGTAGGTACAAACGTTTTCGATCATTTAAGCTGAACTTTGGCTAACGGGGGAGGCTGGAAGGCATGAGGGGTGGGGGTGGGGGGAAAGTTCATTTGAACTGAACTGTCAGGTAAGACCTAAAACTTCGTGGAAGTTCTTCGGTGAAACCAACATGACAGATTTTACAAGAATTCAAGACGTAGTTTCTAACTGCTACCAAAGCGGAGAAAGAAAAATTTGGTGTGGTAAAATGAAAAACAAAATTTGGGTAAACGTAAGTATCTTTGGTAAGTTTGAAAAAAAATGTACCGGGTAAGTTACTATTAAAAATCTGGTAAGTTCTACGAGTAAAATTTGTAAAAAAAAAAAAAAAAAAAAAAAAAAAAGGGGAAANGTTGTTTGAAGAAAACAACAAAAAGTTTTGGTAAGTTATAAATAGAAAAATTCGGGTAAGTTTGAAAAAAACCTGGTTTGGTTAAGTTGAAAAATATCGGGTAAGTTGGAAAATGATCTTGGAATCATGTGGAAAATTCGCCCCCCTGGCTTAGGACATGGCTCTTCATGATGCCTGCCAAAATCTCCTGCCGTCTTCAAATAGTAAATTCAACGGAATTAAGACTTAGTACGTAAGTGACCCTATCATCAGAATATCAGTTGATGTTGTAGTTGTTATAGAATAATTAAAAATATTTTCAAAACAAACCAACAATTTTTTTATTTTTTTCGTTCGGTTCCCTCTCTGAGGTAGGTATGTATATGAACATCCCATACAAAACAAAAAAAGAGTTCTGGCCAACAAATAGGTATTTCAGAAATGGAATCTATTTTGATTGATTATTAATTGTTTGTTGATTTCCAGGTAGTATGTTGCAGAATAATGGAATAAATGTGCACTGAAAATGTTAACAAAACAAATACTTCCTCTAGAAAAATACAATTGTGTCCAAAATATTACACATTTTTCTGTAGCCTTCGTTACCTTTTTCCTGGTATAAGAATAATCAAATGCTTTTAGTACAAAGGTTGGTAAGTATAAAAGGAAGTATTTGATTTGTTAATATCAAAAGTGACTGATTTCTTTTCAGCTTCGCCAATAAGTACCAAACTGTATTAAATCATTGGTTTTCAAAAATATCTGAAGTGGACAAGACTACACACGCAGTTTAATTATTGTTTTAACCGCCCATGATATATCTGTCTTTGATACAGAAATATTCACCAGAAAGCCCTGGATTTTTTTTCAAGAATTATATCAATTTGAATAAATCAAAATTTTATGAAGATACACTGTTCTTAAACATATCTTACAATACATATATGGTAAATTCGGAGAGAAAATAATGAAAATTGCCTACGAAACTTTATTACTGTTGCTATAGTACCTGTACAGGTAAATGGTATATAAACAGGTGAGTTCCTTATACAGGTAAGAATTAAGATATTTTTAAGTGACAGGAAGATTCATACAGTTTGGTACATATACATTGTAACAATCTCGTTAATTCCGATGTGGTCTGATGCAATGCTGTGTGCTATTGTTATTTTGCGTATTTTTCTTTCTTCAAAACAAATCTAGCTGCCTACAAGCATGCAGATGGAAAGAAAATTGACGGACGCCGTGTGCTAGTCGACGTGGAAAGAGGACGAACAGTGAAGGGCTGGCAGCCTAGGCGTTTAGGTCTGTACTTTAAACTCGTCTTCAATAATTTCACAAATTTACAAACACTAAGATTGTTTAAACATTGCAGCAATAGCACCTTGATAAGTAGAACATGTTTGACAGCATTTTTGTGACCTTGACCTCTGTGACATTGGTTACGGTTTTTTTGCGCATAAGTCCGCCACGGACAAAGATCTGCAGCTTTGTAACAGAACTTAACATGCGTGTTGCTTGCCTTTTTGTAACCTGGACATTTGACTTTGACCTGTGTGTCTGTGACCTATTTTGTTATTTCTTACATTTAGGAGTAGGGCTCCTGTGACCCATTTCTAGCCCAGTATGTGACTGGCCAGACAAATTAGTCTTTAGTGCTGTTAAGCACACCTTGTAGCTCGTTTTTACATCACAGTCCTGTAAACGTAACCCTGGAGGGATTCACTGGTATATCAGCTTCCGATTTGTTTATACAATCTGCTTCAGAAGGAAATGAGTACTCTATATATGTCCCACTGAAGACTAACTTGTTCCATAAGATGAATAGAAATCAGAAAATTAAGTGGATGTTTCGTCATGAACACATTGCTGGGGAAATTAATATGTTTCTCTGTCTGTCGTAAGAGATTTGAGAAGGAATCAAATATTAATGTTGGGAAAGACTGTATTGATATGAGACAACAGACTTGATTTGTATGTAGTGGATTCTATGCTTGTTCTGTTAAGGAGTGTTTGGGAAGTATATGCAATCCAGACATAATGAAAGATTATTTATAAAAAATTATCAGTAGTACCTCTTTTTTCTGATGAATACTCATAGAAACAATTTACACGCCTTTCCTCCTGGGTCTGAGACACCCTTTTAATTTCATTGAGGAGTGATTGCAAATAGAAGGCTACAGTATATGAACCTGATGTTAGAGATCCCTCAACTACACTGACGAAAGATTAGATCCCGATGACAAGTTTTATGAAACAGATAAACCATTTCACAAAATGCAGTAGAAAAGGGCATTTATTGAAGGGGCAGTTATTTGGCAAATACGGTATCTATTCTTGGCCATAGCCACCATTTTCTGTATGAAATATTTGCATGAAACACGTTTTTGAAAATGCTGTTGAAAAATTGAAACGTGGAATTGACCTTACTTAAAATTTGAAAAAGCAGCCATTGTATTGGTCTTACCTGTCGACACATCAGCATACCCAGATCCTAGATTCACAATCCTGTCAATATGTCGGACACCAAAAATGTTGGGGATTTATCCCAAAATTTCGTCATTGCGTACAAAACGAGGGCAAACCAATTTTTTTAACATTGTCGAGAATTGTCCAACATCTTGCTAACAGAACAAGTTATATTGGTTTTCCTCGTCTATCTATATACTTTGTTGAGACTAGACAAACAGTTTTTCTGGGATTCTTTCTTCTATATAGGGTACAAACTGTTAGATGTATAGGAGGTCCAACGCTTTATATGGAATCACACCAGCCGTCAGAATGGAGATTGAATTAATCAGAGTTGGGTGGATACCGATGTAATTGGCGCTTATATTGTATTTTGATAAATATGTGTGTAGCCCTCCTGGAATGGGGAACTATCTTTGGACATTTTTGGTGGAAAGCCAAAGATATCCAATGAATATCAATCTTGTCGTAATCTTTCCTTGAGAAGCGGTTACCATGTGGAAGTTCTACCGCAAAATATATCATCACACATATATATTCGCACCAATAACTTGGCCTAGATTCTGTGGGTACAGTGAATATCTCCATACAAACGGCCGTATTTGGATTGGGTGTCTATCAGCTAGAACCATTCCTTGGTGAGAGAGGTGAAGATTTCATTTAAATTCATTAGATGTCTTTATGTCGTTGACATCAGCTGTTGTGTAAATTCAAAGATGACTTGTACATCAAGGAACTCGTGGTGGTGATTAGACTTAATGATGGATAGACTGTTTTTACAGCAGTTAGCTTTACTGCTTTTGTTCAAGTCTACCCAGTTTTACAAATGAGTACCTACATACTAGCTGTGATGTGAGAGACTGGTGTCCTTCCAGGAGGACATATTGATTTGGTAGGAAGAACTGAATTCGGCGTGACTGAAAGATTTGTGTTGTAAAAATAAATATGTTTTGTTAAATTAATTGACATTATTTGTACAGTTGCATTGGAGTCATTTTATTTTATCAGATTTCTAAAAAGAAGAAAACCCAGACAAACAAAGGTACAGATATTGATTTCTGACAATCGTTTGATAACTGTATAAAGCCCTTTGCATGTTGTTTAAATGTTGAAAAAAAAATATACTTGACAGAACTTGAATCATGAAATGGAATATCATGAAAAAATGATTTTCTTGAAATGCAAATTGGAAGAAGTCGGGCTCAAATGACGGAAAATCTGCATTTCCGCCTTCAGATTCAAGGTGGGGCTGTAGCAACACGTTAATATGCTGAGTGTGTTTCCGCTGGGTCACATGTCTCGGGGAATAGGAAGTCGGCACTAATGGGGCTGTGTCAGAAAGTCTCACTCGTCATCCGGGATTTTATAATTGGAAGCCAAATGCAGTGATTTTAGAACACAGTGATGTATAAGTTGTCTAATGAATGGTGTCTCTCGCCAGGAATAAATAGAGAGATAGGATGTGGTTTAGAGTTACTTCTTAAGTAAATCATATACGGTTGTCATAGGTGTGTGACAGTCAGGGGTGTATAATGTTATGGTATACGAGTTGACAATCAGACATATTTTTGCTGAATGAAAGTTCTATTCTAGGAACCATTAAAGAGCACTGATGGAAATTGCCATGCAACATCCATTATAAGACCATGAAGCCCTATCGTTATATTTGATGTGGTCCTTAATAATACAACTGGGCATGTTGAATGTATTAATGTGCGAAATATAATTTTCTAACTTGTATGTGATTCATCTAAAATGGATCAAATTGTTGAAATTACGATTAATTTTAAATCAAACCCAGGGTCAAAGGGTCACAGCTTTGTGGTCAAAGTTGAAAATTGGTATAAGCATTACATACTTTATCTGTACTTACACTTCTAGGTCGTGTTTTGTCCAAACTTGATCCGACATTAAACGGGCCAGTTATAAATTCTAAAAAAGGGTCCGATTTTAAAAACGGCAATCATAAAATGGGCAGCTCCGAAAAAGACTTGACTTTTGGGATTATCAGCCCAGTGCTGTATGGCCGTCTGCTGATCTGTCCCTTATCAACTCTATTAAAACACCTGCACAATGTCATGAATTGTATCTCGGTTTGAAGTTTCAAAAGAAAATGCAATTGAAAGCCAACTGTTGCTGTAATTATATGACACTGAGACTTCAATAATGTCTTTAGTACAAGCTTCAGCGTGAGCAGAGTATTGACCAATAACAGGCCGCACTGATAAGGTAATTGGAAATTGATTGAGCATTTAAATTATGTCTTCATGGATTTTTAGCATTGCTACAATTTCACTGCAGATAGGAGCAGAATGCATGCTGATCATGGCGTCAGCTGGACAATGCATACTGTGGGATGTTCAATACACTGCTCTGGGTTGGACAGAAACTGTTGTGCTAGTTTAAATTAAATTAAAACAGTTGTTTAGATGCTTTACATGGCTTTCAATGGGGAGTGTTTTGTTTTCTCGTCACAGCTGTTTCTTCAATCGGTTAGCAACTTCTGTTATGAAATACCCAGGCGTGCAACAGGAAACTTTTAATTGTATATGTCACGTTATTACGGAACAAATAATTTGTAATGCTAAACTATTTACACTGGAAATCCATACAAAAATTAATATGCTATTCAATATGCAGAGGTATGGTATCTTCAAACAATGTTTCACGAAGTCACAAACGATTATCTTTGTTCTTTTGTATCATTTTATTTTGTCATTCCGAAACACCTACCTGACTACGAACTTCTTGTTTGAAGATTGTAAAAGAGGTTTTGTCAGGATATCAGTTTTATCAACTCAACATGTCTTGTCATACTTTTTGTTTGAAGATTGTAAAAAAGGTATTGGCAGTTTATCAGTTTTTACGATATGTCTTATCATAACTTTACCTATCAACATTGGATCACATTAATGATTGTTTGTGAAATATGTGTATTGTTATTAGGGACAAAATTGTCAGTCTTTAACGTTTGTTCCTCATTATTAGGGATAACTGTCTCATTAAATCGTCAACAGTGAAGGATGTCTATCAGTATAAGGGACAGACACCTCATGATTTCTCAACCCTGAAGTTTGCAAGCTGATTGTGGCTAGGTTGTGTTGAAATACAATAACACTTCTGGCTGTGTCAGTGCAGCCAGGGATAGGACAGCAATTACATTTCACTTCAGTCAGCATCAGCATCTCTTTCATCATCTCCCCCATCATCTCCCCCGCTGTCGCAAATCTTTACAAGTTGTCTCGTCCAGAAATAGATACACGTTTTCCACCCACTAACACAAATTATGGTTACTGCGGACACATGACAGAACTGCGATATGTCACGTGTGCAGTTACAACGACTCTATTGCAGTGAGGCAGTTTTACTGTATGCGACTCGTGTCCCCTTCTGGTGATAGAGCGGTACTCGGTGAATGGCTGGCCGGGGAGATGTCTGCTCACAATAGCACTGACTGCATTAGTGTATTAGACCAAGATTATGCAATATTGCATTTTGTCATCGTGAGAAATTCTGGTTGACGAGATATATATCGAGTCTGGTCCAGCTTACGGCTATTCCTTCCAATATGGTATTTTACCATTTTACTTTTTGTATGTACAATTTAAAGCATTTTGTTTAGTCTTTTCAGTAATGAATTCATTTAAGAGGGGTAAAACAATTTCGGGTACAGAGAATGCATCAGATTGTAGTTTGATATCAAAAAAAAAAAATCTGTATTTTTCTCCAATTTGTCTCCATCTTTTATTCATTTTAGCTGATATTTTGATGATTTTATTTTTAGATATGGGAAGCTGTATTACCGTTGCTCTATTCTACAGAAAAGCAATTTCCAATTTAAGTACACTGATAATATAATTAAAAAAAATGTACTTTCAAAAGTACAGACAGATAATACATTGATTTTTGAAAATTATCCTATTTTCAAAAGTACAGACAAATGAAGCCTTGAGGTGAAACAGGGACACTAGAATTTATGTTAATCTTATTGAAGCAGCATTTCATGTAACCAGTGAATTCAGATAGAGATGACATTACTGCACCAATACTAAGTATGCGTCTGTGCAGCACTGATGGCAAACATGTGCTTAATCAATTGTTAACCTACAGAGATGGTGAAAAGGTCAATTGACACTGAAGCACTCCGCTTAATACGCCACTAGTGGGGTGGCTTAATGTAGAAAATGACTAGCTTCAGGCCATTTTGTACAGCCAAATCACTTTCTGTTACGGCACCAGAGGAAACACATGTGCCGTATCCAGCCAGTCATTTTGACAAGGGAGTGAACATATGGAGTACAATCATATGATAACAGATTTAATACACGAGAAATAAAACGTTTTAACCACCCCGTTGTGAAATCGGCCCAGTCTTGAAATTATTTTAACCTTGTGGAAGGCTATTTAAATCTTCAAATTTTGTTCTTTGTATTACAATCCTATTTATAACAGTTTTTCATTATATTTGGCTTTCATAATGATGAGAAATATCTGAAGTTTCTTGTGAAATTTGCAAGAAAAAATAACATTTGTTAGGAAGAGGTTTTGTAAATATTTCTTGTATGCTACCTGGGATGGACCCAGTACCCTATTGCTTATGATAGGGGTAAAATAGGCATTGAGCTTTTTCTGAAAATCATTCTAGGTAATATCCAAGGCCAAGTCCTTCAAAGCTTGACTGGTTATTAACCAAAAAAATGCATTTTTGAGAAAAATCAGAAAAAAAATATATTACTGCATGATGTTTTTTCATTATCTACAGTTTTAGATTTTTAGTTTGCACTTAGCAAAATTAATATTCATACACTAGACACAATTTTAAGTGCCTGTTTTTTTTCACATTACACTTTCCTCAGCCACCTATGTGACATATTTTACAATGAACCTTAAAATGCTGCAGAGTGAAAAAATGAAGTTTAAAAATATTGTCAAAAATTGAGACATCAAGTTGAAGGTTGATTTGTCTTTGACCCTGGTAACGTTATTTTTTACAGGCGGAGGTCTTGGCGGCACCAGGAAGGGTGGTCCTGACGAGAATACCAGGTTCTCCGGCCGAGACGAATACAGGTAAGTTAACACTGACAATGTCAATATCCATAAAGTTTGTAGTTCGTCTACAGTGTAAAAAGTTGCATGAAAAAATCTACTATTTAACAGCATTATAGAACCTCCAACGGTCCAGCCCTGCTGTCACCATTATCCAGTTTAAATGTTTTGGACAGTATTGCTCTGGTCCAGCCCTGCTGTCACCATTATCCAGTTTAAAAGTTTTGGACAGTATTGCTCTTTTTATCTAAAAATCTAGACCTAGTAACCCAGTCATTTCACTGTGAAGATCGACACTTTTAACTGGAAACACACGTTGGCTGGCTAACAAGGCTACACTGTAATTGAAACAATAATTTCTGATTGGAAGTCTTTATTGGGTTATATTGCATTATTTTGATACATTTTTTTCCCAATATCTTCAAAACATTGTTTTTCAAAGAACATCACTGTGTTAGGTTAAAATTTGATCTGAAATTAAATTTTTGATTCAGAATTTTTTCAAATGAAAGAACAAAAAATTGAGAAAGCTATTTGTTTCGAGTGAGAAATCAATTGATCAATTAACCTTTACATTCCTGGAGTTCTGTTCCATAGTATGTTCAATTTAATTAGGAAAGATGCTAACATTATCATTGTTCTAGGTGAAACAGCACCAAATTGCTTATTGTTTAGTGTCAAACTTGAAAAATTCAACAAAAATGCCTTCTTTGCATAGTCATCATAAGATTTATAGTATTTATGTGTATGAAAGGTCAAAACAATTTAAATGTTAGATGTTATCTACGACGTCTTGCTGGAAGGTAGTGGCCATTGAGTGTTGCTGGAAGGTAGTGGCCATTGAGCGTTGCTGGAAGGTAGTGGGAATTGAGTGTTGTTGGAAGGTAGTGGCCATTGAGTGTTGCTGGGAGGTAGTGGCCATTGAGTGTTGCTGGAAGGTAGTGGGAATTGCGTGTTGCTGGAAGGTAGTGGCCATTGAGTGTCGCTGGAAGGTAGTGGCCATTGAGTGTTGCTGGGAGGTAGTGGCCATTGAGTGTTGCTGGAAGGTAGGGGGAATTGAGTGTTGCTGGAAGGTAGGGGCCATTGAGTGTTGCTGGAAGGTAGTGGGAATTGCGTGTTGCTGGAAGGTAGTGGCCATTGAGTGTTGCTGGAAGGTAGTGGGAATTGAGTGTTGCTGGAAGGTAGTGGTAATTGAGTGTTGCTAGAAGGTAGTGGGAAATGAGTGTTGCTGGAAGGTAGTGGTAATTGAGTGTTGCTGGAAGGTAGTGGCCATTGAGTGTTGCTAGAAGGTAGTGGCCATTGAGTGTTGCTGTAGGTAGTGGCCATTGAGTGTTGCTGGAAGGTAGTGGCCATTGAGGGTTGTTGGAAGGTAGTGGCAATTGAGTGTTGTTGTAAGGTAGTGGCCATTGAGTGTTGCTGGAAGGTAGTGGGAATTGAGTGTTGCTGTAAGGTAGTGGCCATTGAGTGTTGTTGGAAGGTAGTGGCCATTGAGGGTTGCTGGAAGGGAGTGGCCATTGAGTGTTGCTAGAAGGTAGTGGCCATTGAGTGTTGCTGGAAGGTAGTGGGAATTGAGTGTTGCTGGAAGGTAGTGGCCATTGAGTGTTGTTGGAAGGTAGTGGCAATTGAGTGTTGTTGGAAGGTAGTGGCCATTGAGTGTTGCTGGTAGGTAGTGGCCATTGAGTGGTGCTGGAAGGTAGTGGCCATTGGGTGTTGCTGGAAGGTAGTGCCCATTGAGTGTTGCTGGAAGGTCGTCGCCATTGAGTGTTGCTGGAAGGCAGTGACCATTGAGTGTTGCTGAAAGGTAGTGGCAATTGAGTGTTGCTGGAAGGTCGTCGCCATTGAGTGTTGCTGGAAGGGAGTGGCCATTGAGTGTTGCTGTAGGTAGTGGCCATTGAGTGTTGCTGGAAGGTAGTGGCCATTGAGTGTCTTGTTTGGTGTTGCAGGGAGGACGGTTCACGGGAGAGAGGAGGAGGAGGAAGTGGAGGTGGAGGAGGAGGTAGTGTTGGAGGTGGTGGTGGTGGTGGTGACCGAAGAGGAGGAAGACCCAGGAGTCGATCAAGGGAAAGGCGTCCACGAAGTCGCAGTCGTGAAAGGGAGGCGCCTAGGAGGAGGAGCAGAAGTAGGGAGCATAATAGGAGAGGCGGCATTGATGAAGGTACTGGCAGGCTTTTACCATATTTAACTAACAATAAGAACAGACCTGGCCCCGAAAATTGTCCTAAGTTTGGATTTGACCAATCGCAGATAACATCCTGAAAAATGATGTCATATGTGATTGGCTAAGCAAAAACTTTAGTCTAAGATTGTTTCATGAACCTGGGTCAGGTTGTCGAGCCCTTATGGGAAATTAGTATATAACCTAATTAGATCCTATATACAAAAATTGTTTTACGTGGGATGGGTTTATTACTGAGCATGGGCCTATCACAGGTAAAGTTTGCCATTAAATAGGATATAGGAAACAAGCTATCAGTCATATTTGATCTAAGTAATTTTCACTCCATATTTATTATTAAATCATTCACCCCTGAATTTTCATAATGAGCTATTCCAACCTTGGCTTTCGAAGGGTTCAAATGTGTCTTCAGAGGTGAATGAGTTAATTTTAGTGACTTACATGTGTATCTTATTGTCAGTACAAAATTGTCATAGAGTTGGATCTCAAATTGGCAGTTATGTTGTTATCAGATAGGAATTCATGATATCGGTAAGAAATAGTGGGCAGGAAGATCTTGTCATGCCTGTCTTTTCAGTGGTCGAAACTAAGTATCGTAGCCACATGGAAAGTGATCAAAAATCGACACACTAAATGAGAAACTAAAGAAAGAAAGTTCTTTTTCATCAAATATAACATGAATGAGCATCAACAAATGAAACCAGAGAACAGTAACTCTGAAAGACAAACAATCAATGATGCATATAAGACTACAGTGTACAAGAATATGTTTGCAGACAACTTTTCGGTGAATATTAATATTGTGAATGTTCATAGAGGCAGACAAAATTACTTGCAGTGATTTGCAAATGGGGGAAATTTTAACAAGCATTTTCTTAAAACTAACATGTATTTTGCTAGTAGATATACATTAGTTTCCTGTCCTGCTTTTGAAATATTTGAGCAATGCTGGATTCAGTGTCATAGTTGTGATAAATTAATGTTGTATTGGAAAGGGGACCAAATTCCTTACTTTTATATCATTGTAAGAAGTATGTTTCTCGTTATGGGAATTTTGAAGATGTGCAGGTTCAACAAGAGTTGTCTTTCTTGTAACTGAATTTCTTTTTCACCTCCTTGTTCCCACTGGAAGGGGAAACAACTCTCACTCCACTATTCATTTACATAATCAGCTATTGCTTACAATATGAAATGTTCACACATGGAGGAAAAATAAGATATCACGGCTGACTTCAAAACTAGCAGCCTCCACCCTTTCACTGGGCTCTTCAGGTTTGATTGAAGAGCCCTGTTCTATACTTATCTACTTTACAAAGACATTTAACCTTTTGAATTATATATATATATATATATTCATGGTTAAATACAGTATATGTGTATCGGTAAAGTAGAACAATAGGTTATATTTACACACTGGAAATCATTTAAAAGTAAAAACACTGGTCTACATTTGAAATGTTGTTAGAAAATACAGATGTCTAATTTCTCATTTCAAAATGTCCAGTTGTGTTATATATTGATTGTTTGTCATAAGGACCTGTTTAAAACAGCGCTGGGAAAAAATCATACTGAACAAACCAGTTTTATGAAATCCCAAAATGTGAAATTTAATCCGACTCTTATTTCACTTTGAAATGTATTCATTCAAAATGTAACCATTTTCAACATTTGATCTCCATTTCCAGATGAGGATAGGAGCAGGAAGAGGGGAAGAAGGAGTAGATCTCGAGAACGCAAGAGGACCAGGTCACGTGACAGGGGAGATCGCAAACGTGCTCGTCGTAGTAGGAGTCGTGACCGTGGTGACCGTCGCCGTGACAGACCTGAGGGCCAGCCGGATGAGGTAATGCAGGACATGCCCCTTGACTTTGACGGAAAGATTCTCATCAAACAAGAAGACCAGAACAAGGGCTACCCTGACGAGGAACCAAATGGGTTCCCCCGCGAAACCCGCGAAACCCGCGAGGATGCTTCGCCACAGTCTCCCCCACAGGAGGAGGGACCCCGGGAGGAACAGCAGGAATACCAACAGTGACCGACAGCAAGGACACGGCTGACTGAATTTATAAAAAAGAAATCAACATCCTCACTATCATCAAATGAAACCACAGTCAAATAAAGGCACATTTTGTTAACACTTGTCACATTAGAACTTGGATAACTAATATGTGGTGTTGTTTTGTGGAGAATTCCTTGTCAGCTATTGAACTGTTTCATGAGATCTTTAGAAGTGGTTGTTGTTCGGTGACCAAAGATACATCTGTGTGAGCACATTGTTCTCATACAAATACAGACGCCCTTCCGTTTGTGATCTGTGTGTCAAATTGCTTTTTAATATTTTTATTCCAATTTTATTCTGATGTCCGACAACTATTTTGAAATTTTTCTGATTTACTAGACTCTACATCGGTGATAAATACCAGCAGATTTTTCAGTATGTTGTAATCAACTGCTTATTTTCGCATGTATACTGTATGCAGTGAAATTTTTTGAACCGATCTCTGATTTATAGATTTTCCTGAAAACATCTTTAAGATTGTTTTCAACAGGTAGGCTGGAGAGAAAGAAGAACAATGTGTATAGTTGTTGAAATGACATTGTCTACAGTGCAGACTATTGGATTTCAATTATTGGACCATTGATATTGAATACATGCCAAGGACAGTCCAAGTGCGAGGACTTACCAGGTTTGTAATGCCATGCTGGCCTGGCTTTGATCATTCCGTCATCAATCTGACGTAAATATGCAGACCACCGAGTCTTGGATAGGGTTTACGACAAGATGGCATGCATGTTAAATATTAGTCTGCTGTATTGTATAAGTGTACAGCTGGGGAATGAATTGTATGTACCTGATGCACAGAATGATCCAATCAAAGGGGGCGGGATCTGAAATTATGTTTAGTTTTCATAGAAGAAGAAAAATGAAGACTTGTTAGCTTTAGTATTGTTAACTGACACTTAAAAATGATTGATTAAAAGAGAAAGGAAAATGAATTATTTGTGATTTTAAAACGGGTTTGAAAATATTTCAGAGTTAAATGGCTGGTAGAATATTTGAAAATGACCCCAGAGGTGTTTTTGATTACTATTCTAGTTTAAATTTTACAACCCTTTCAATACCATCTGTACTTAACTAAGAATAGGGGATGTGGGAGGGGAGGGGGGAATGTTTGTCTGGGATGATCCTTATGTCTGTAAGCTAGGGATACTAACCTTTTATTACCATGTTCATCAAAGGGGAGGGTTAGAGGAACCCTTGTCAGTTATGAGATCAGATGGGGTGACACTTACCCTAATGTTGAGTTTATCAAATGTTATGCTGTATAAGGTAGGGGAAAGATCAACATTAAGTTACCCAATATTGTACTGTATAAGGTAGGGGAAAGATCAACATTGAGTTACCCAATATTGTACTGTATAAGGTAGGGGAAAGATCAACGTTGAGTTACCGAATATTGTACTGTATAAGGTAGGGGAAAGATCAACATTGAGTTACCCAACATTGTACTGTATAAGGTAGGGGAAGGATCAACATTGAGTTACCCAATATTGTACTGTATAAGATAGGGGAAAGAACAACATTGAGTTACCCAATATTGTACTGTATAAGGTAGGGGAAAGATCAACGTTGAGTTACCGAATATTGTACTGTATAAGGTAGGGGAAGCATCAACATTGAGTTACCCAATATTGGACTGTATAAGGTAGGGGAAAGATCAACATTGAGTTACCCAATATTGTACTGTATAAGGTAGGGGAAGGATCAACGTTGAGTTACCCAATATTGTACTGTATAAGGTAGAGGAAGGATCAACGTTGAGTTACCCAATATTGTACTGTATAAGGTAGAGGAAGGATCAACGTTGAGTTACCCAATATTGTACTGTATAAGATAGGGGAAAGATCAACATTGAGTTACCCAATATTGTACTGTATAAGGTAGGGGAAGGATCAATGTAATGGATCTGGTAAAGACCAGGTAAATGCATTACGTTTTATAGGATGTTGTTGATGAATAAACACACAACACAATATTTAATCACTCCAAGTCTCTGTCTGTCTTTTTTAAGTATATTCATAGCTTTGGATTGACAAATTTCAATCATTTTCATCATCTATGTCATCTGCAGTCATTATCCACAGTGTTGTCATCAGTCTTTCTCAACAGATCCATCATCAGTTAATTCTGCCGGACAGTTCCTATGTGCCTCATGCCAGACTGCACAGCATGCTAGATATTTCATTTATACCTCATTAAGTAGTTTTATTGTGTAGTCGGCACCATGAGTAGTAGTTGGTTATGTTATACTGGTATATTGGGGAATTACATCATACTAGACTGGTCATGTTATACTGGTATATTGGGGAATTACATCATACTAGATTGGTCATGTTATACTGGTATATTGGGGAATTACATCATACTAGACCCGTCATGTTATACTGGTGGATTACATCATGCTCCATGGTACTGTATTGTGTACTCCCCACGGAGTTAGATTAAAGTCCGTGGTACAAATCAGCTTGTGTGTCAATATATGTAACTTGCTACTAGCTCATAGGAAAAGTGATCTTACTTAATATATATAGATCATCATCCAAGCACTGGCCCCATTTTTATCATCTCTTATCACCCAAGTTTCAATAACTAATGTTCATCTCATGTTTTTTCATTCATTTTAAGCACACATACCATACTAGATCAGTGTTGTGCAATTATCTTGCGGTTTTAAAAATAAAAGAAGCTATCTACCCCCTTGTCTGTTTATAACAGTTGATTTGATTGGCTGTTGTATTGTAAGAATACCTTGACAAAGAGAGATGATCAAGGGTCAAAGGTTAAAATTGTAATAAATTTAGCTGATGTCAATATGTAAAAAAATATTGTATTGTGAAAGTGATGAATAAAATTGTCTCTCATTAAAACTGTAACTGTATTCTATAAACATTGTTTTGTTGAACCAGAATGAGACGAAAAAGGTTTCATGAAGTAAATTATTCTCCCTATAAGAAAGATATCTGGCAGTAACAACCATAAAACCACAGGAGAAACCTCAAACAGCTATTTTTAGCTCACCTGGCCCGAAGGGCCAAGTGAGCTTATGCCATGGTGCAGCGTCCGTCCGGCGTCAATATTTTACTTTAAACAACTTCTCCTTAATAACCAAAAAGCCTAGGGTGATGATATTTGGCCAGAAGCAAACTAGGATAAAGGGCTACCAAGTTTGTTCAAATAAATGACCTTCACCTATTTTCAAGGTCACAGGGGTCAAATATGTTTAAAAACTTTAAACAACTTCTTCTGAATAACCAAAATGCTCAGAGTGATGATTTTTAGCTAGTAGCATGCTTGGATGAAGGGCTACCAAGTTTGTTCAAATGAATGACCTTCGTCCATTTTCAAGGTCACAGGGGTCAATTGTCTTAACAAATCTTTATACAACTTCTGAATAACTAAGGGGCCTAGTCTGATGATATTTGGCCAGTAACATGCTAGAATGAAGGGCTACCAAGTTTGTTCAAATGAATGACCTTTACTGATATTCAAGGTCACGGGTCAAATATGTTAACCTTTAAACAACTTCTACTCAATAATCAAAAGGCTTAGGATGATGCTATTTGGCCAGTAGCATGCTTGGGTGAAGGTATACTAAGTTTGTTCAAATGAATGACCTTTACTTATATTCAAGGTCACAGGGGTCAGATATGTTAACCTTTAAACAACTTCTTCTCAATAATCACAAGGCCTAGGATGATGCTATTTGGCCAGTAGCATGCTGTGATGAAGGGCAACCAAGATTATTCAAATGAATGGCCTTTACATATATTCAAGGTCAAATATGTTTAAAACCTTTAAACGACTTCAGTGGTCAATATATATTTAAGTCTTTAAATGACTTGTTCTGTATAACCAATAGGTCCAGGGTTATGATATTTTGCCAAAAGCATGCTGGATTGGAAGACTTTAAACTCTGTTCAACCTAATGTCCATGTTCGACATTCAAGGTCACAGGCGTCATATGTTTAAATCTTTTAATAGGTTCTTATGAATCAAACACTGATATTCTTCCTGTAGCTGTATTTTAGTCCACTTTTAAGATTACAAGTGTGAGATTAATACCAGGTGAGCGATTCAGGCCCATTGGGCCTCTTGTTAATTTTCAGAATAATTCAAATGAAATGAGGAATCCTTTTCATTCTGGGGTCAAAATGTCAAGGTCAAAGATTCTCAACACTTGCCTTTCCGTCTATATCGCTTTTTAACTTCACAGGGTGACGTTAGGAGAACATATTCATTTCTTTGGACCAAAAGTTCAAGGTCACAGTGGTATTGTCGTAGCGCTAGCTGGCCTCGCCCAAAATATTGAGGGTTGGTGGGGGCAGGGTTAGACTGTCCAGGGTCAAAACCCCACTAAAGCTGTAGAACTTTAAACATGACAAGGTCAGTCAGCCGCCCTAAGATATCTTGGAGATGTACATTATCGGGCCATGGTCACGTGTGACCTCTTGAGTGGAAAGCATCACGGGCTCCCCAGAGATCATTGTATAAATTAGGTCATTTAAAAAAAACCTGGAAGGATGACCAGACATCGGTGGAGTAGACAATCTTTAAATTGTGTGGAGACCAGTTCTTCGAAAATCATTGGTGGACTCTAGTATAGTATACATGTGTTTCCTCAATGTCCTTGACAGTTTAGAATATAACTTAATATTTTGTTCAAATGTCAAGGTAAAAGTGAGCCATAACATGTAAATGAATATTCTGGTCACCCACCTTTCTTGACACTTCACATTATGACATTGGCAATCTGGACCCGTCGGCACTTTCTATAAAGTTTACGGACAGTGCCTATCCGTACCTTGGCTGTTGTCAGGACGCAAGTAAAACATAAAAGAAATGTCTAGTAGGAAACAATGATTTAAGTTTAGTAAATGAAGTGAAACGCATACATTGCGCTACATGTAAAATTGTCCGACCTACTGTTTTATTAGGTCACCTGAGCTTTAGCTATCCGTTTTCGTCCGTCCGTCGTCCGTCGTCCGTCGTCCGTTAACATTTTACATTTCAAACTTAAAGTCAAGTTCTGCTGGGCCGATTGAACTGAAAGTTGGTAGGAATGATCGCCTCATGGTCCTGACAAAGTGTTGTTATTTTTCGGGTCGATCAGAAATCCAATATGGCCGCCACGGCCGCCATTTTGAAAACCTATTTCAAACTTAAAGTCAAGTTCTGCTGGACCGATTGAACTGAAAGTTGGTAGGAATGATCGCCTCATGGTCCTGACAAAGTGTTGTTATTTTTCGGGTCGATCAGAAATCCAATATGGCCGCCACGGCCGCCATTTTGAAAACCTATTTCAAACTTAAAGTCAAGTTCTGCTGGACCGATTGAACTGAAAGTTGGTAGGAATGATCGCCTCATGGTCCTGACAAAGTGTTGTTATTTTTTGGGTCGATCAGAAATCCAATATGGCCACCACGGCCGCCATTTTGAAAACCTATTTCAAACTTAAAGTCAAGTTCTGCTGGACCGATTGAACTTAAAGTTTGTAGGAATGATCGACTCATGGTCCTGACAAAGTGTTGTTATTTTTCAGGTCAATCATAAATCCAATATGGCCGCCACGGCCACCATTTTGAAAACATATTTCAAACTTAAAGTCAAGTTCTGCTAGGCCGATTGAACTGAAACTTTGTAGGAATGATTGACTCATGGTCCTGACAAAGTGTTGTTATTTTTCAGGTCGATCAGAAATCCAATATGGCCACCACAGCTGCCATTTTGGTAAACTATTTCAAACTTAAAGTAAAGATCTACTTGGCCGATTGAACTGAAACTTTGTAGGAATGATCGAATCATGGTCCTGACAAAGTGTTGTTATTTTTCGGGTCAATCAGAAATACAATTTGGCTGCCATGGCCGCTATTTTGCTACTAAGTTCTAATAGGCCGATCTCACTTAAAATTGGTCTAGGAATGATCAGCTCATGGTCCTGACAAAGTTAAGTTAACATTATACTATTTTTTACTCAAATTGGTACATATTTCAACAACAAAAATAAATACTGTAGACTCAGGTGACCGTTTAGGCCCATGGGCCTCTTGTATTAAACTAAAACTTATCTTTTGAATTATATTTCACTGGTGCTATCGATGGACAGTACTTTCATAATGAAAAATAGTCAGCACATTGTCTTTTTCACATAACTTCGATACAAAATCAGGGAGACCCTATCCTTGGAAGTATTACATGCAGATAAAAATCGCTTACAACGAGGATTTTCATCTAGATACACTAGTAAAATAACTTAATCAACTGACTAAAAGGGAATAAGTCACACAAAAATGGCGGAAGTCAATTTTGGTGAAAATCAAGCGAGGTGCAAGCTGAAGTATGAACGACGAAAAGGCATAATGAATGTGACATTTCTGACTGAATAAAATCATGGTAGATTTGCGGCCTTTTCTCGTAAAATGAAGTCTTCATGAATGTCTTAATTCGAGTTGGGAGAATTTGAATAATGAGAATAGATGCGTCTTCCTGCAACCACACATAACTTTTGAAGGATTTCATGTACCCCTTTACATTGTAGTATGCCTTGGAAAGTGTATTTCTGGCGTAGCTTTGATAAACCATTTCTGTCGAGAAAACTTTACATTGCGGGACTTGATGCAAAAGAAACCGAACGAAATAAACAAAACTAATATCAACAAGTTACAACAACAGACCAGGATTCGAACTGAAGACCTCGGATCGCTATACTATCGCGCTTACCAGCAGAGATATCTGGTCAATGACAAATCCTGGATCCAAATACTCTTCAGGTATATCCAAAACGAAATAAAGGTGAAAAGGCTATATACAAGAGTTTTGTCTGCATTGGTACAGGGATCCTAAGGAATTGTGTGGTTGTACATGTATTGGTTTCGTTGTTACTTTGCATTAGCAAAGGCCTGACGTCTCACCCGTATGACCTCTATGACCTTATATCATCATTCTAACAAACGACTAACGGAGGCGTCTAGAGAGACCGGATATTCCCTCGCTGTTCCCAGTAAAAGGGCATAGAGGAAGACAACTGATTCTGCAATGGATGGGGTCCTTTAATTGATCGTTGTCCGTATTACGGTAATAATAGCGTACAGCATTTGCAGCACTATACGACCATCAAAGCGCTTGACGATTGTGTTAGGGGTCTACCACCTGCAGATTTTAGAAAGAACATGCCTGCTTTATCCTACTGCATGACGTAATAATAGAATCCATCCCTGATATGAGGTATGGATAAGGTCATTCAAACGCAAGGGATAAACTATTGAGCAGGAAACCCGAGGCTTTGCTGTGGGTAGGATATCTCGGTCTAGTATGCAAGAATAATAAAATCCATCCCTGATGTGAGGTATGGATAAGGTTATTCAAACCAAAGGGATAAAATATTGAGCAGGAGACCGAAGGCTTTCTATTTCTTGCTTATTGCCTAAAAACCGTAAAAACAGGTGCTCTTCCAGTAAAGTTGTAAACTGTCCGCATTTCTCATTTGCATATGAAGCCCGGATGGCAATTATTAGCGACGTCAATGACCCTGACTGACCCCAAAACGTCATAAGATGACGTCACGAACAATAGCGTGATCCAGAAAGGTCACTATAAATCCCCCGCCAGTCTGCGCGTGTAAGCGATCTAGACCCGTGGGTCGGATAGAATTTTGCAGCACCGCCGGAAATGCGGATATTTCGGTTAGTATACACGAGAAAAGGTGCCCCCCC